TATTGTTTTTGACTGTCTGACCTGGTTTGGATGCTAAACGAAGGCTCAACCAAGTAGGATGAGAGATTGTTAGAGTTGAAAGGAAGAGATGATGTTTTTCTCCTTAACTTACAGCTTCATTTATTTAGTAAAGCTTCATTTAACATCTACTGTTAAATTATTTTCCTCCAGTACTATTAAAAGATGCTGATAACTTGAGACAAGTAGCTGAGCAGCTTTTAGAAACTGGTTGAGCACCATCTTTAAGGGACTTTGAGGGTGACATGGAACTTGTGATTTTGTTCCTAGGTGGCACATCAGGTGGCTGTTGTCACGTTTCTGCTGGGCATGTCTAGTTATGTAAGCACCCATGCTAGTTTTACACGTCTGCGTGTTTACCAGGTTAGGTGTTACTTCTTGGTTAGAAACCCACCTCATTGTGCTTGGCATCCCAAGGGTTGAAAACTGCCCAGAATCCATTTGTTGGGGCTGTGGAGTGCAGTGGTCTACACAGGAGCTTACTGCCTTCGCTGTCTTGTACTTTGCAAGCCAGGCAAAGGGGACCGCCCCCCTCTTGTAGACACGTGCTTTCTTCCATTTTTCTTAAGACAGGCAAACATTTTGATTTGTTCCCCATGTGAGATCCTAATTCATACCCAGCAAGTGTTCTCTTCTTTCAATCAGGGAAAATGGCAGGGGTGTGCAGTGGTAAATGAGTGGCTTGGGCTGGGGTAAGGGCGACCACACCAGGCAGTGGTGGAGACTGGGGCAAGTCTTGAGCACTGATCCTGTGGGAATGAATGCCCAAATGTGTCCCTGTTTCCCAGGAGGCTCAGAGTGACCAGGGCTTCTAGTATTCCATGAGAAGCTGGGCATTTCTACGGGAAAACACCTACATTTAAAATGTGGATGAGTTTTTTTTTTTAAAGATTTATTTGTATTATTTTTTCATTGGAAAGGCGGATATACAGAGAGGAGAGACAGAGAGGAAGATCTTCCGTCCGATGATTCACTCCCCAAGTGAGCCGCAACGGGCCACCGATGCTATGCCGATCTGAAGCCAGGAGCCTCTTCCGGGTCTCCCACGCAGGTGCAGGTTCCCAAAGCTTTGGGCCATCCTCGACTGCTTTCCCAGGCCACAGGCAGGGAGCTGGAAGGGAAGCGGGGCTGCCGGGATTAGAACCGGCGCCCATATGGGATCCCGGGCGTGCAAGGCGAGGACCTTTAACCACTTGCGCCACCGCGCCGGGCCCAAAATGTGGATGAGTTGTGAAGGAACAATTGTGTAAAGGGGAAACAAAATAGTTTGATACTTACACCTGATTGTTGATATTGGATTTAATATTTAAATGCTTAAAAATTTTATTTGAAAGGCAGAATTGCAGGGAGGGGAGAGAAGGAAGAGTGAGACATCTACCGGCTTGCTCCTCAAATGGCTGCAGCAGGCAGAAGACACCAGGAAAGTGAAACTTTATCTGGCTGCTTCTTTATGGGAAAGGGGAGCGAAGCACTTGCGCATCCACTTCTTTCCAAGATGCGTTAGCAGGAAGCTGGGTGGAAAGTGGAGCAACAGGGGCTCTAACAGCACTCATGGGATGCTGGCTTTTTGGGGCAAGGGTTATTCCACTTCCCCTTAGTGCCAGATCCCTACACTTAGCTACTACTCAGGGTGACGTCTTTTCTCTCTCCCAGCCCATTCCCTTCCTGTCCTTCATCATGTAAGGCATCCCTCACACCCTCTCCTCCATTAAATCAGCACGCTCCCCCTTTCTGTCTCCCCAGATTGTCTCCCAGCCTCCCGAGACCCGGTGTCTGTGTTCAGCAGGATATACACTACCATTTCATTGCCTTTCCCTTCTAGCTCACTTGTCTGTAGTTCAGGGAATTCCCTCTCTATATTTGTAGACATTTGGAAAATTCTCCCAAGTGCAGATCCTGGGTGATGTCCTGAAGTTCAGACTCATCGGGGCCCTGTGTCTGGGCAAGAGCTTTGATACCAATTGCTTTTTTACTCTTGAGAGTCCTCATTCTGTGCCCTATTTTTATTTTTGGAGGATCTAATTGGTTTCACTTAGAGCCCCTGCGTTCCATCCTAATCAGTTTCCAGGAATAGAAGTTACATGGACCACGCCTGCACACTTTCAGATATGCTGCCTGGGGACCACAAAGGAGATTCGTACCTCCCGTTTTTGGACAGGAAAAGGAATGTTATACTAAGTGCCACACAAAAGCTCACTAAAACAGTGTTAACATATGCCTTAATGATGCTTTCTTATTTTTCAATAAGATTCTTTGGAAAAGTACGTCGTTTGTCCCTGTTGTGAAATACTGTTGTAGTTGTGACTTAAATGTATGATCAAAGGTTTAGTATTTTCAGGTATTTCAAGTATTGGCTTAGGAGAGGGATTCAGAAAGTTTCAGGAAAAACTAGATTTTGAGATAGGCTTATTTTACTGCAATAGTATTTCCAAATCCATACCTAGGTATTTCATGCAGTACATTCTAAACTTTTTTTTTTAAAGATTTATTTTTATTATTTTTTTCATTGGAAAGGCGGATATACAGAGAGGAGAGACAGAGAGGAAGATCCTCCGTCCGATGACTCACTCCCCAAGTGAGCGCAACGGGCCGATACTATGCCGATCCGAAGCCAGGAGCCTCCTCCGGGTCTCCCACGCGGGTGCAGGTTCCCAAAGCCTTGGGCCGTCCTCGACTGCTTTCCCGGGCCACAGGCAGGGAGCTGGAAGGGAAGTGGGGCTGCCGGGATTAGAACCGGTGCCCATATGGGATCCCAGGCGTGCAAGGCGAGGACCTTTAACCACTTGTGCCACCGCGCTGGGCTCCATTCTAAACTTTTTGAAGACCTCTGGAACTAGATGTCTTGTTTTTATCTTCATTGCCATTTTTATAATGGGACTGTGCAGTGCTTCTTGTCGTATGTGACTGTGTTTGTGGATGTAGTCCTTGGTCGTGTGTCTGGTTAGTGCCTTAACACTAAATTCCCAGAGGTAGACTGCTGTCTATGGAGTAAAGAGGTGAAAGCTTTAGCTGCCTCTTCCTGATCCCCAGGCCTTCCACCCTGGACACTCCCCAGCTGCCTATGAGTTTGACTGCTTTTTCTCATCATCACTTCTGGCCTTGAGTGAGTGTTACAGGAATGGTTTGTTCATCTGGGAAGCTCAGCCTGATGATTTGGAAAAATGATGTGAAATTGACCTTAGGGGGCTGGGCTTTTTTTCTGGAAGCTCATGCGCATTCTTTGAGGATTGGGGCTTGGCTTTACTCTCTCACAGCTTCCAGCTTAGGGAATCTGCCTCCATGTGTGGGGCCTCCTGCCCTGGCATGGGCTGGGCTTGGACCTGCTGGCTCCCTGGCTTCCCCCTCACCTCCTGTTCCTCTGGAAGGTGTTGTCTCCCATTTGGCTGCCACAGAAGGGCACTGTGGTGGCGTGCCAGGCTCATGCATCTCCCAACACACAGCTGGGATGCATCTCACATTGGAGCCCTTTGCAGTTGGATCCCATCCAGTGATTCTTTTCTCCAGGCTTTTGTTTCTGGTCCCTAATTATTTCAGCAGGAGAGAAAATGGAGTTGATTAGTAATGATGACATTGGGATTCATGTGTCCAAATAGAGCTTGAGATGTTTAAAATTCTGTAGGTTAAATCTGTGCACACATTAAGCAAAGTATCTTGAAGATGTGTATGTTGAGTATGTTGTCGTGGTAGCAGACTTTAGTTGTTTCTGCAAGGGAGGCAGATCAGAGACCCCAGGCTAATGCCTTGGAACGATGTTTTGGTCAGGCTAGAGCTGGGCCACTCCTGGCAGTGCCACTCAGGGTGTACATAGGATGCTCCACCCTAAGACTGCCTCACCCTGTTCAAACAGATTTTTTTTTTTTTGTGACAGCAGAAGCTTATTTGGAAATGTGATGTCCCACTAGTATATTTAAGGGAACCCCCAATGTCTCTTTGTTGTGCATTTCTGTCTTCATTAAGTGATTTTTAAGACATTGAGCAGTTTATTTTTCTTCCCTTTGTGATTCTTTTTTCGCTTTTTATTTTTCCATTTTGTCATGATCTTGGCAATCTGCATCTGAAATCTGTGGAAATTCCTATTGCAGAAGATATACTATGACTTAAGACATGCTGCACTTCTAACTTTTTATCTCAGCTGCAGCTGCCCATGCCATGTAATGACCAAGATTCCCTCTGGGCCCGTGATTGCATGGGGCCTCCTGATATATAATATGGCTGGCTCCATGGGTGAAAAGACAGATGTTGTTCTTGCAACAGTTGCCCGCCTGTGAGTGTAATTACAACCCCATAGCTTGTGTCCCTTTCCAGTGTATGTGGTCATGACCAATGGTCTGAAGTCTTCTTGTTTAGGAAGGTGCCAGCCCTGAAAGCAAGACTTTTGGGGCTGTTGGCTTTAGCCTTGGAGTGAAGGTAAAACAGGTTTAACATCTGTTTGTCTGCCTTCTCAGAGATCACATTTCCTGAACTACTTTTATATTATATATGTATTGATTTCTGTAGACTATTTGGGACAGAAGCAAGTGCTACATACTTGAATCTAGCCAAGAACCAGATACTGGAAATCATTTACTAGTGATTAATTGGGGAAGGGCATTTGACACAGTATTGAAGGTGCTCCCTGGGATGCCTATGCTGTATTGGAGCACCTGCTTTGAGTTCAGCCTTGTCTACATCCAGTTCAGCTTCCTGCCATTGCATATCCTGGCAGGAAGAAGATCATGGCTCAAGTGTTTGAGTCTCTACCACCTTTGTGATGCATCCTGATGGAGTTCCAGACTCCTGGCTTAAGCCTGGCCCAGTCCTGGGTACTCTGGGTGATCAGGAAGTGAATGACTAAGTGGAAGATTTCTACCTTTTTCTGTGTTTAAAATCAAAGAAAAATAATGTAAAATGAAAGAGAATCCATTGTTCATGCTAACAGGTGACCCATTATTATTATTATTTTTAAAGTGATGAGTTGCATCTCATTTTTGTTCTTTCTACAGACTGAACATCCTTCTGACTGGCATGAACCCCTTCTACTTCCATGCAGTCAATGTGATTCTGCATTGCCTTGTGACTGTCGTGCTGATGTACACCTGTGATAAGACCGTCTTCAAGAGCCGGGGACTGGCTTTTGTCACGGCGCTGCTCTTTGCCGTCCATCCTGTTCACACCGAGGCGGTGAGTGCCATTGGAACTCAATGAAACAATGAACCAAAAAACACATCGATATCTCTGCTAAACTCATCATTTTTCTCCTTTCAAAACTCTTACAAATTCAAAGCTCTACTCTAGTGTTTATTTAGAAATCATTCTACATGGCAGCTTTTCTTCTTGAATGTTCAGATTGGCTTCATTGTACTTCCAGGATTTAACTGCTGTTCCAAATAATCGCTGCTGTTATTACAGGTGGCCTTGAACGTGCAGTTTTTTATTTGCACAAAATTTAAGTCCTAATGGGTTTTAACCATTAAGGGACATTTTGAGATACTTGTCATACCAACTCCTTTCGCCTGCTTCACATTTTATGTATTTTTTAAACTCAAATTCTCTTTTTTATTATCATTATCATTTTATGATAGAGTTCCATAGGCCCTGGGATTTCCCCTACCTTTTCCCATAATTCCTCTCCCCCTACCTACACTGAGTTCTCCCATACCATTGCAACATAGTTCCTTATAGACAGTCATAAGTCCATCATCGAGAGTATGGACAATGGCAGGGAGTCCAGCATCCCATTGTCGAGACACATCCAACAGTTTCACTGGAAGTCCATCCTTGATCCGGAAGTAGAGATGCACACCGCACCGTATCTTCACATCTGGACATGTCAGAATCCACTACTTAGTCATTATACATCCCCCCAAGTGAAAAGCCACAAAACAGAATCAATAACAGGAAGAAAAAATAGAAACTTACGTCACCATGAAGTTAAATAACATGCTACTGAATGACTGATGTGTCGCTGAAGAAATGAAAAAGGAAATCAAAAACATTCTTGAAGAAAATTATGCTACTGCATGATCTGAGTCATTAAAGAGTTTCATGAGAAAAAAATAATGTTTTGAAGACATGAAGCTAAAAACATTAAAATCCATGAGATACACGTTTTATATTTTAATTTTCTCCACTTGATAATTATCATGCTGCTGATGCAGAGCTCTAACTGCTGGAGGACTGCTGTAAGAAGCTGGAGTGTAATTCCTGTAATAGCAAGGGCACAGGCAGTCTTGAAAGGCTGCGAACTGTGTTTAAGTTCAGTAATGCAAAGTGTAGTTGACCTGCGGATAATGGAGAATTTATTGGAAAGTATTGCTAGTTTGAACCTATGATCCTATACTCATGTAATGAATGCGATGGTATTATGAAATAGTTTTGTTGCATAGCTAATTGATTTGTACTAACCGGGGGTATTTGAACACTGTCCAAGTGAGGTTTGGATACCAGTTTGTAGAGTCCTAGGGATAGGTGTTGTAGGTAGCAATTGGAAAGCCTATATCCCGCCTTGGAGTTCTGGATGTGAAATCCAGCTCCTCTGCCACTTCCTGGCCCTTGGGAGACAGCAGGCGATGGCTGCCTACTTGGGCCACTTGGCTGGATTGGGTTCCAGGATCCTAGCATCAGCCAGGTCTAGCTGCGTCTGTTGAAGCATTCAGAATGGACCAGGGGATGGCAGATCTCATCTGTTGGTTTTCTGTCTCTGGCTCTCTGTTTTTCAAATATGTTAAATCAGTCAGTCTAGTCTGGAGCCTCAGCTCGCCTCTGAACATTTTGCTGAATTTGATCTGCCTGAGCACATCACATTTATACCTCAGAATCTTACTCTGCCCCAGGCATGTAGACTCCCTGAGGCACTTCGAAAGGAGTGCTTTGATTTATTGGGATTCAAACCATGCCCTGTTTTCTGGATAATTCTATGAAGGATATGGCCTGGTGTTAGAAGGAAGAAGGAATGTTCTAGATTCAGAAGCAAATAGTTGTTACATAGATGCATAACCATATGTTCATTTTGATGCACTACTTTCTTGATGATGATAAGTCGTTTTGCCTTTTGGGTTATATGGTGCACTTTGTACAAACAGGATCTGTAAGCTCCAGGTTTTGGCAAAAGTAGGTTTAGATTAAATGATAAAGATTGGATCAGGGTGGTCATCTGGTGTGGTGGCTGGGAAGCCCCCTCATCACTCTAAGGAGTGCTGGAGGCAGCAGGGGATAGCCCCAGTACTGAGGTCTGTCTACCCGTACGGACGTGGATTGAGCTTCTCTGCTGACTTCATTCTCACCCGGCCCTGGTGGGATTTAGGGGAATGAACCAGCAGATGGGAGATCTTCATTTGTTTCTCTGCCTTCCAAATAAATAATTTAAAAAAGGAAAAAAAAAACTTGATAAAGGTAATTTCACCATGCCATTCTTTTTTTTAAAAGGATTTATTTTTTATTTGGAAAGGCAGATTTACTGAGAGAAGGAGAGACAGAGAGAAAAACCTTCCATCTGCTGGTTCACTCCAGGTGGCTGCAATGGCTGGGCGGAGCCAATCCAAAGCCAGGAGCCAGGAGCTTCTTTGAGGTCTCTCATGTGTGTACAGGGTCCCAAGAGTTTGGACCATTCTGTATTGCTTTCCTAGGCCCCAAGCAGGGAACTGGATAGGAAGTGGAGCAGCCAGAATATGAACGGGTACTCATGTAGGATCCTGGCACTTGCAAGGTGAGGATTTAGCCTCATTAGGCTATCACACCAGGGCCTCCCATACCATTCTTTTTAGTTTTCATTTGAAAGTCACATAGAGAGAGAGAGAGAAAAGGGGGAGGGGGGGGGAAAGAGAGAGAGAAAGGGAGAGAGAGAGAATTAGAAAGAAAAGAAGGAACTGCATCCAGGTCTCCCATGTAGGAGGCACACACCCAAGTACGTGAGCTGTCATTTGCTGCCTTCCTATGTACATGAGCAAAGGGACTGGATGGGAAGTGGAGCAGCCAGGACTCATACTGGTGCTGCCACACACAGTGCTGGCATCCTGAGCTGTGCGGGGAGGCTTGTCCTGCTGTGCCACAGTGCCTTTCTTTCTGTGTGGGGGAGGCTGAGCAGAGGAGCTGCAAGTGGAGGAGCATGAAGAGCAAGTCGCTGCGCTTTGCTGGAAGCTGGTAGAGCTTTCTGCCATACTTACCTAACTGTGTGAAAGTCAATGACAGGCAACTGGAATGATGGCTGAATTCAAAGTTTTTGCTTTTGACCAAATTAAAGAAGGCCCTCATTGGGTGATCAGCTAATAGATAGTTAAAAATCATGTCAGATGACATAGCCATGCGATAATTGATAATAGTTTTAGAATTAAATAAATCCTTTTTAGAACCTGATTCTGTTCTTATTTATGTAGAATGTCTGTAAATAAAAACTAGGCAAGAAAAGGCAAACTTTAGACTGCTATGATTGAACTTAGTGAAAATAAAAATAAGCCTGCTGTACCCATATTAACTAGAGTTAATATTCTGTGTTTAGTAATTATGATTTTTCTGCTTTGTAGTATATATCTCATACTTATGAATGGGTAATAATTAGAATACCAGTGCCAAATTTAAAATTTAATGCTTCAGATTCTTACAGTTATAGGACATTTTTAAAATTAATTTACTTGGAATGATAAAGTATTTTAAGCCTAAGTGTGTAAAATGTTAAGAAAAAGTGGTTGGCGTTGTGGCACCGTGCGCTAAGCCACTGCTTGGGAGGTTAAACCACGTCACACATTGTAGTGCTGTCTTGGCCTTGGCTCCTTGGGTTCTGACCCAGCTTCCTACTGATGGGCCTGGGAAGGCGGATCAAGGACTTAGCCCCAGCTTCCCACGTGGAAGCCCCGATTGACATTCCAGACTCCTGGCTTTGCCCTGGACCAGCTTTGGTTATTGCAACCACTTGGGACCATGTAGGGTGGATCGTCAATCAGAAAATGGAACATGTTTGCCTCTCTCTGAAACTCTGTCTTGCAGGTATTTAAATAAATAACAAGGAAACCTTTCAGCAGAAATCCGGAGGGAGAAATAAAAGGGAAACAAGGAGTTCAGAGACAAAGGGTGTGCAGTATCTGGTTTATTTAAGGACAGGTCTGTTTGTGTACGTGGAATGTGAGCTGTAGCATTCAGACACCCTTTGTATTCAAATAGCAACGTTGGAGTCTATTTAAAAAATCTAGTATGTACAACATATGGGAAGTTCTATCCTTTTAATGATAATCCCCAGTGCCTATAAAATTGTATCACATAATACAATGTTAATAACAATAAAAAAAAAGGTAACAATCAAGGAAACAAATGACCCAGAAGAAAAAAAAATATATGAATGCAAAATTTTAGATATAAGCTTAAGAGGGTTATAAAATGGATGTTTAGAGTAGCCTAGTGGCTAAAGTTCTTGCCTTGCATGTGCTGGCATGCCATGAGGGTGCCAGTGTGTATCCCAGCTTCCCCGCTTCCCACCCAGCTCCCTGCTTGTGACTTGGGAAAGCCATTTTGGATGACCCAAGGGCTTGGGACCTTGCACCTATGTGGCAGATCTGGAAGAGACTCCAGCCGTTGTGGCCGCTTTGTGGGAAATGTCTTTCCTCTTCTCTGTGTATCTCACTTTCCAAGAAAAGCAATTTTTAAAAAAGATGCATGTTTTGTATATATATTTTGATTTTGGTTGTTTTATTATGCAATGTTCCCATGTACTTTTAAAGTACCCTCATACATTTCTGACAAAGAAGTTTTTAAATATACTTGAAAGTCTGTGCTTAGATTGCTGTGGCGGCAGTTATCCCAGGAAAGCAACAAGTAACTGGGCAACAATGATTTAATTCCACAGCTGCAGAGGTGGAGAACATAAAACATGGGCCTTCTGGGTCAATGCGATTGTGGACTGTGGGAGTTTAGGTTGGATGTTAAGAAGAGAGGAAAATCTTGTCAGGAAAAAAAAATGACTTTTGAAAGGGAATATCAGAGGACCTTAGTGCTAATTGAAAAAACAAACAAACAAACAAACAAACATAGTAACACAATTAAAGGGGCCACGGCGTGTGAGGGTTGGACATTGACTGACGGGAGGACGGTAGGGAAGATGGTTAGCTTTGTGAGCAGATGAGTCAAGCATAAAAAGGAGACAAAGAAACTTGCCCTACAGAGGCGGTTCACACCTACAGAGCACAGTCCAAAGA